GACCGCTGTTTATGACCAAAGGAGCGGCATCCAGATTTGTAGGTGAAGGTAAGGATAAGTGGATTTCTAGTCGATAGCTTCCCTATTTATAATGCATATTGTAGAATTTAGACCATTACACTGTATGGATATTGAAGAGTGTTCCAATAAGAATGTGTATGTGCACATTGAAACCTCACTTTGTTTATTATGTAAGATGTTTCCACTGCCAAACTTCACTGGGTAAAAAAAAGAAGGTTGGGAATATGGCATTTTGGCTCATGGACCATACTGATCTATTGCTATAATAGACTAGTATTTTGAATTCGTACCAGTAATTCTGGCTGTTATAATATGAGTACATGCATACTGACATTTCATACTTTATGTAGAGAACATTCGGGGTACGCGGTAGCGTAGTGGTTGAGGCACTATGCTACAAGCCGGAAGGTTGCGAGTTCAAGTCCCGATGAGGTCATTGGATTCTTTTCAGTTAACCTAATCCTTCCAGTCGTGCTATGGCCCTGAGGTCGACCCAGCCTCTAACAGAAATGAGTACCAGGAATTAATTAAATAATTTTCCTGGAGAGTAAAGCGCGGCCAGCGCGTAAGGCTGACAACCTTACCGCCATCTTTGAGCCGATTGTCTAGATAATGTGGGAGCCTCGATGTCTCACAGCCCTATGGGCCTTCATGGCCTGTTACAGGGATAGCTTTAATTTTTTTACTTTTGTAGAGAACATTTCTTAAGCAGTTACCATGTGGTCTACCACTTTTGAATAGCTGTAGAGAGTGAAGACTTTGTAGACACAAGTGAATGTGTGTGTGTGTGTGCAGAGGAATCTCTCACTGTGCTTCATGTAAGTTCTCTTTTGCGTGTATGTCTCTACAGTAACATTTCCCTGATCAGTCATGTACGTCATGGACTAAAAGATAGCTCTAAGAAGTCAGTATGTGACAAGTAACTTTGCTGTTACCTGTTCCGAAACTGACTGACAGAAAATATTTGGGATAAGGCTGAATAAGTAGCCAGCCTAACTGCAGCACTGCAGACTTTCCCCTCGTTCTGAGCACACTGTATTAAGAGAATCACATAAAATTCAGCTTGGAGTAAGCAGAGCAATTGCAACATTTCACAGTGAAGAAAGTGTATTTCTTCATTTCATATGAAACTGTGTTTTATATCATTTTCAAATACTATATAAATTTGTAGTTTCATACTGCATTAGAAGCATGACAGAAATCACAAAGACCTAGAATGTTCAGGGGATCAGGAAATAACTGGACAGTACAGTAGGTACACATGAGTTTTAAAAATCTTTCCTCACTTTATATGAAATTGCTCTTATGTGCGGATTGAAGAATCTTGTATCAGTGGCAACATCTGCAAAAGTTTTGCATTATTTATGCTTTTGTCTAGATTGAAGTGTAGTTTCTGAAACTTATGATAAAGATTGAAAGAAACTTTCCAAGACTGTTGCTGTGACAATTATTGAAGTTTTGGAACGTTAGTATGCTACAAATGGATGTGTAGTAATGTAACAGTTTTCTGTTGTGATAAGAATGTTCAGTATGATCTTTTAGGTATGTATATTGTGATGGATTGCTGGTGGAGAGGACTATGCTTTCCTTAACCCTGCTTAGAAAGGAGAGGTTGATGCCTGATAGGGAGAAGAAAATGACATGTGTTTTATTACTGGTGGCTTGTTGGTACAAGAATAGGAACTAACTGGAGTGAGAGATTTACCACTTTGACCAGCATTGAAACTCATCCTTAATCGAAACCACATTTTTAGAAGTGTCAACAGTATGGAATTCTGTCCATTTGTGATGCCTAAGCTTCAGAACATTACTTAGAAAGTCACCACAGAACTAGCCTTGGCCAAAAACGTACCTTATAAAATCACAAGAACTGCCTTTGGAAGCCATCAGAGTTCTGTTTTTGGACCCTGAATAAATCATGGAAGTTCTTTAAATTTCAACCATATGATCAAGATACATGAAGAACCCCTAAGGGGAAGACGTCCCCCCCACCTTATCTGAGAATGGACAGGATTTTCACAAAAGGAACATGCTACGCCAGTCATCATGGTTGAAGAGTAATCCAACCAATTATGCAACAAGCAAAGTTGGTTTACTCTCCAGTCATAAATTGATTTACCAGATTACATGGTGTTAAATATCCAACATAACTGAGACTTCCACTATTTCATTTCACATCTGAATGGACATCAATTGTAATATCAATTTCTGTCATCTGGGATATAACACCATGTAGTCTGTTGGAAGTCAACTGATGTTTTGGAGGAAGAATGCCACTTCCATCTTTGGGGTTAAAGAAATAAGCCAAGCAAAAAACCTCCATGAAAGCAGGTGGTAAATAGATGACTTGTTTTTTTCCTTGGCATATTCTTTGACTCCGAAGATGGTGACAACATGTTCCTCCAGAATATCAGTTGACTTTCAGCAGGCTACATAGCATTATATCTCAGAAAATATAACTCTTCAAAACCACTGCTGTGAGAACATCAGATCCTACACAATCTTAATATCAGTAGAACTTACAAATCAGTGTTATACAAAGTTTTAGGTATATGGTTAATTTTACTTTGAGAAAATAGCTGAAAGCTAGCATTGTTACTTATGAAAAGAATTTTTTAATTCTGAGAAGCGTAAATTTTTACCACTGTTGAGCAGAAAATAATGAGTAATGTAGTTTTAGATTTTAAAATTATCCTCTCTTGCAAATAATCAAGGATGGTTTCTTTCATCTTTATCATTTGATTACAGATTTTGATGTGAGATTTCATTGTGCAAAGTAACAACTGATCTTTAATAATTTTAGTTACATCATTTACATTGTGGTGAGTAAACAGTACTGGCTGAAACTGGTGCTTCTTGGGTCACTCAACTTGCTCGACTGGCAACAGGTACCTACCTACCTGTGTGCCTTCCTCATGGTTGAAACCGAGTGGACACCGACGTACATGTACGGTGGAGTAAGAGAGAACATAACAAAGTCAGTCTCCCCCTGGACATGTTTTTGACAATGGTACAGTACATGGAATGTATGTGTGAGTGCATCAGGTTTCCACACTATTTTTAATGGAATTGCTTCTGACTGTAAAAATATTTCCTTTCTTTGGAAACTTTACTGTTCACTATTTGGGTACTGTGAATTTAAAGGAACAAATGTGAGCATTCACATATGTTGCGCTGTTAATACATTCCACCTTTATGGAGTTTGTCTTAGACTTAGTGATACACTGTGGTGCCAGGTGTCACGGAATGTGGTACTCTGAAGTTTTATCTCTCATGTTTCTGCGTGTAATAGTTTGAAGAGTAATCATTTTTCCTTTTTATTGATTTTTGTAAGTGTAAAGTGATGCATGGCTGCATTTGCATCCTAGTCCTGATAGTGCATTAAATAGTAGGTGTAAAAATTAATGGTAGAATATCATAGTAATGGAAAAGTACAAGCTTGTTTCCTTCTGGGTTAGGTGTCATCTGAGTTGGTGATTCATAGGAATCTGCTGCTTCAATCTTCAGAATATAAGAGTAAGCTAAACTTGGAAAGAAGTGGCACAGATGTAGTGAGAAGAGGGTGGGGGAACAGGACCAGGATTCTGAATGAACCAGTAAGAGCAAGAAGAACAGGGTAAAGAATTTTGACCCTCAGAAGGTTCATTTTCTAAGGGCAGGATTGGGAGAACGAGAGTAAGGAAACTATGGCCCTTTTGCAAGGGCAAAATGAATGGAAGAGGGGACAGACACAAGGGGCAGATCTGGAGGTCACCGTGGTCTGTGTGTGAGCAAAGCGAAGGAGAGAAAGGACAAGAAGCTCTAGGAAGAACTAATTGCCTGCTTTTATTTGATAACGACATTGACTGCATAAAAAACGAAAAAATTAGGGGAACCCCACACAGGCAGCAAGGTGACCTGATGAGCCTCTAATTAATTTATCTTTTTCTTACAGAGTAAGGAATGTGGGCTGATAAACAAATCATTTCAGGCGTGAAAGGTGAGAATATTCACCCTTAAAGGGTTGTAAATCCTTGGGCAGGGTGGTGGGGGAAACAGTGGGTCTGAGTAATTAGTGTGCGGTACAGGAAAATCAGAGTGAGGAGTAAGTAAACGGCCTCCTTAATCTAGGGGTAACGTTCCCACCTCATGACTCAAGGTACGCGGGTTCAAATCCAGTGGAGGTCATGGAATTTTTAAGGGCAGAAAAATTCAGGGAACAAGTCCTCCGGGAGGAACTTTAAGCCGTGTGTCCTGTGTCGTAGATTTACGGCATGTAAAGGATCCTCATGTCTCTAGGAGACCGCTGAGCATTGCGACTAGTTAGAATAATTAAAGGGGGATGCACAATAGATCAACAAATGGTTGCAGTGCATGGGGAAACCCACCCCCTCCAAATAATAATAATAATAATAATAAAAGTAAACAGTGACCCTGTGAAGGGTGTTTTGCAAGGGCAGAGAGAATGGAAAGAAGGACAAAACACTGCAAGGGGACTATTAAGAGGGTAGAATGGGGCGGGATGAAGAAGGGAGGAAGGAAGAAATAAATTAGAGCATGGTATCAGCCGTAAAGGGTTCTTACACTTATGCAGAGTGACTGTAGGAAATGTTGTGTCTGAATAACCAAGAGGTGGTGCAGGTATGTTAGGAGAAACTGTAAGGATTTAAACATGGCACCTTCCAAGTACACATTAGAAGCTTCATGACTTGATCCAACTTAGCAGGTTTAAATGAACGCCACCAAACCCGTGATCGCCCCCAAATATATTTGGTTTTGATTGTCAGACCTCTTGAACTTAAAAAGTATATATATATATATATATTTGCATTGATGTTACTATAAGAAATATGCATTGAAAATAGCCAAGGGAATCTGCGATGCATCCACACGTACTCACTTGAGATATGTTCATTGGTGAAGGGCTACCAAGAAGGATCCACCCTGTGCAGGGTGATTGTTATTTCTTCTAACTGTGCTTGTCTCTCCTCACCGGTCAGTCGGTCAGATCGAGAGGGTTTTCTCAGCTGCCTGTCACAAGAAGGTTTGGGACCATTTCACCAAAGCCCAGAGAAAGAACATAGAAATGTGGAAGAAACAATGTGCGGTACGTACAGGTTGGGCAGAGAGTGTTCAGGTCTGGTTTTCGGTAAGGAGATGTAAGGTGGAAGAATGAGATCAATGTTGAAACTTCATGGTAGTTCATACTGCATTTAGCAAAAATATCAGACTTTAGATTATTTTAAATTGGTTATGCAGTGAAGTTACAGAAGAAGTGAATGACAGAATGTGCAGGGAGGAGACGATTGAGATATTATGTCCAGTGCTGGTTGAAATTCCATGTGGAGTGACAATTTGTAACTGAGATTTATCTCTTGTAATGTCTGTGTACATGTCACAAGACCAACTGCATTGCCTAGTTTGAAAACTTGGGACTTGCGTGAGATTTCCTACACTTACATCTCAGCAGTTACTGATGATCAGACCTTCATTTCTTAAAGAAGGATATATGAAATAATGATCAGTCCCTCACAGTCTTTTCATGTAACAGATGAATAAAAAAAGAAAAGTAAAGTTTTCCCTGTGCTTAGTTAAGCACTATGCAATGAAGGCATGTAGGGGAGTGGAAGTATAACTCCGCCATTATTGACCTTGGCACTAGATGGAGGTTTGTGGGCAGCTTCACATGTTGGCTGCTTTATCTCTGGAGAAAGAGCCCCTAGTACGCATTGGATAGGAGGCTGGGTGGGCCCTGGAGCCAGTCTAGATTCTATGAAGAAGAGAAAAATCGTTGCCCCTACTGGGAATTGAACCCTGGCCGTCCAGCCCATATCAACTGAGCTATCCCAACTCTGCATAATGGATGAGTACAGCAAATAATCATGAACTGAAGTTGCAGATTGAAAAATAAGTGGCCACAAAAGTTTTTTCCAGATTACAGAATTCATAGATAGTGAAGTAAAACTAAGGATAATAATTTGTGTGCATCTCTCTCTGTACATATAAATTTGAAATAAAATGGTGAAATGACTTTGCTAGTAGTTCGCCATAAAGACATGGGATGTGCAACTCACTGGTCTTACACATGAGTTGTATCAACGGCACAATAACAGGTGGTGGTCCTAAAATTGATGTTCTTGGTAATGTGTTAATAATCCAGTATAGCATCAGGCTACAGACTGGATGGCTGGTGTTTAATTTGTGGCCCTGTTATACAGTGTCCAGACCTGCTCTAGGGCTCGCCCAGCCTCCTATCCAATGGGTACTGGGGGCTGTTTTCCCAGGGATAAAGCATTTGGGGTGTGAAACTGGCCACCCACCTCCATTTAGTGCCAAAGTCAAGAAAGGTGGAGCTATACCTTCACTCCTCTGTATGACATAATGGCATGTTTGCTTAATTAATTAGGCACTGGGACAACTTTACCTTTTATCTTTTTTTAAGTGCATTTATTGCTAAACTGGAATGTAATGTCAATATAGTATTAGACTGAATGCTGAGAGATTCCCATCTTGCAAACCCCATGGCTGTAGGCACACACATCTGCATGTTGGCATTGCTAGTGAGCAAAAGTTAAGATTTTTGCATTCATCCAGCTGCTTGATTTATTTGCTGCTATAGAATGGGCTGTACTGTCAGATATGTGTGTTTGAATGGTCGTTAAATGCAGTGACAGACCTTTTTATGAACATTCACCAATTTCTGGAGTTTGAAATATTATCAGTGAACATCATGATGTTACTGAAAATTAGTTTACTAACTAATAATATGATGCCAGAAGGTGAGTGTGTCATTCTAAGCACATAAGCATCAGATTGCTTTGTTTGGAACTATTATTTTGGACTTCGAGCATCATCCTGCTTTGTTGGAACCAAGATGTTTTGGAACTGAGTTCTGCAGGTGAATGGGATACGAAGGAAACCCAATTCTGTTGGGCCCTCAGTAGATGTACTCATACGTAGTTGATGGTTTCATAGTCGTTTTAACAAGGGGCATGTGCACTTGAAGATGGAAATAAAACCCATTTTCCAAAATTTGTTGGTTTTAATGAATTTGCATGATGAACGAAGTTCAGAACGATAGTTTTAAGCACTGTGCCATGCTGTTGTCAAAATGCTTCAGATGTAAATAGATTAACTACTTCTATGTATTTTTGAAAATATTGGCTGAAAAGAAAAATATGCAGTATAGTGATGAAAGATGCAAATGTTTATTGTAATTTTCATTTCATGCATCCTGCTGTGTTATAATATACAATTTCTTTATTAAAACCATCACAACACAACTATATTAAGGTCATTGCCAAGTTTTGGCTCTGCTACATGTTTCGGCTATTAAAAGCCATCATCAGACAAATACATGACTGACATATATACACCACTGAACTGCAGTACTAGTAAAACTGGATACAATAATATTAATTATATTAAAATACTTGGCATAAAAATACAATAAATTAGACTATATAAAACAAAAGTTATAATATAAAACAAGAATAAAATTGAAGAAAGCAGTCTTCTGGGATTTGGCACCGTGTATATGTGGTGTTAACCGACGTTTCGGAGGAACGTATTGCCCCCATCTTCAGGGTTGAAGAAAAAGTATAAGTAAATCTGCAAGCGACAACACCGTGAGACACGGTAAAGCAGCCACATATACACGGTGCCAAATCCCAGAAGACTGCTTTCTTCATAGTCACCGCCGTGAAAGCCTCAAATCTTACAAGAATAAAATTCTTTGAGTGATGCTTTACATCATCGAGTCAGTCGTTGGTTTTTGTGATTTTATTGTGTTCCCACGGAAAAATTGGAGTATTCTATATTTTGTGTATATATAATAAACTGTTTTGGAGGTTCGTGATGCAGTAGTAATATTAAGGTTAATTATTTAGTCGGACAATACTTTGTAAGATGAGGCACCAACTAAATAATTAACATTAATATTACTACTTCTACATCACAAGCCTCCAAAACAGTTTATTATATATACACAAAATATAGAATACTCCAATTTTTCCGTGGGAACACAATAAAATCACAAAAACCAACGACTGACTCGATGATGTAAAGCATCACTCAAAGAATTTTATTCTTGTTTTATATTATAACTTTTGTTTTATATAGTCTAATTTATTGTATTTTTATGCCACGTATTTTAATATAATTAATATTATTGTATCCAGTTTTACTAGTACTGCAGAGCCAAAACTTGGCACTGACCTTAATATATTTGTGCTGTGACGGTTTTAATAAAGAAATTGTTTATTTTAATGTTTGTTCAGATTGTCTGAATATAGTGTATATTAATTGATTATTTTATCATCCTAAATTAAGAAAACATAGAGCATGTTTGAGATGAGTAGAGTGCATATATATTTTTATTGTTGAATTCCTGGTTCTTTTTTTTTTTAGCAAGATGTTAAATATATAGTTTCAGTAAAAGCAGAATTGATTTTCATGTTGACTCCATTCTTGAATAAGGAAATTTATGTGTATAGACAGATTTTCAGTAATAATGTAATGTAACGTAAACTCTGGATAAATACTGGAATTTTGAATGTTGTTCAATGTTCAGTGAGAACATTTGATGTTACTACATGACGGTCTGTTATTTTGTATTCGCTGTAAATTCATATAAACTGTCATGTGTCCTGATAAGAGATTTTCCTGAAGTCTATTCCAAGAGAAGTATATTCTCTGCAATAAATTTCGTTTGATAAATGTTTCACGAGCAGAATGATTCTACATATAGGAAGGAGTTCCCAATATATTCTTAGTTCTACAAATTCTGTCCCAGGAAACTGATCATTTTTTCATATCCTTAAAATGAATGTATGCGGCATGCTGTACTTATGGAATGACTTTTCAGTACATCCGTGGAACGAGGTGGCCTATGTTAAGATGGATACAGCTCACAGTTACCGAACCAGTTCACACAAAAGCCAGTGAAAACTCAAACCTAAGAAATTAATGCTGTTTGTGTAGTGTGTGTTATGTGTTAGTATTAGTGTAGAGTTTTCCACTGGCTTGTCTTTTATGTAGTGATGTGCTAAAGAAACTGTTTTGTATATTTTAATAGGTTCCCCCACTTACTAATCAGGTGTGATAAATTATATATTTATTATAAAGAATGTTTCTAACACAGCTGAGTAATTTATAAATTGTTCTTAGTGATGTTTATACGGTACTTTTTAGAGAAAAGTCTAGAATGGACCATATTATTCTCAAATATGAAAGGAAGATGTTACAATCAGTGAAAAAGTGGCGGATTTGCGTTTCTCACGACATCACCTCTGAAGTGTTCGGTCTTCCAAGTTGTAATGCCATGCTGTTCATTGCATGATTTGTTGCTTGGATTCCTCTTCATCCCTGAAGACAGAGGTGACATGTTCTGCCAAAATGTCAATCATAGCATTACAACCCAGAAGATGATACTTTCAGTCATAGAGCTGTTATGTTTTATGAAATCTGTGTAGATCCATTTCTCATTAGCAGCATGTTGAAGAGGAAGCTTCTTGACAGAGCAATATTAAAGGATTAGTGAGGAAATCACCTGAACAAGTCAGCAGTCTTCCTGTCACAACTGCATTTAAAACAATTGAATTTTCTAAAATTAATTTTACAATGTCAGTTTTGTGATAAAAAGGTAAAAAAAAAAGTAAAGCTATCCCTGTAACAGGCCATGACGGCTCATAGGGTTCTGAGACGTCGAGGCTCCCACATTTTCTCTAGACAGTTGGCTCACAGATGGCAGTAAGGTTGTCAACCTTACACACTGGCTGTCCTTTATCCCCCAGGAAAATTCATGGTACTCATTTCTGTTAGAGGGTGAGTCCACTCCAGGGCCATAGTGTGGCTGGAAGGATTAGGTAATTGAAAAACATCCACCTCATCGGGACTGGAACCTGCAACCTTCCAGCTTGTAGCATAGTGCCTCAACCAACTACAATATCAGATGCCCGCAGTTTTGTGATATGCAATATTAAAAGAGTTTTATCTTCTGGGATGTAATAAATCAATTTTTTTCTTATTGCTAGTGGGGTTGAACTAAGTCCCTTGCACTGCGGCCACTTCTGGCCTATTGTACCAGCCCCAGATGATAGATGAGGGTGATTATGGAGGAATTGGTGGAATGATTATTGGCAGGGGAAACCGAAGTTCTCGGAGAAAACCTACCCCAGCGCCACTATGTCCACCACAAATCCCACTTGACCAGACCCGGGATCGAACCAAGGCCGCCACATTGGGAAGACAGTGACTGACCGCTTGAGCTGTGGTGCGGCCAATAAATCTATTTAGTGCAGTAGAAATTCGCTGATGTTTCCAAGGTATATACTTGCTCCCAAATGTCAGTGAACTTACAGGACTACATGATGTCATGTCCCACAGAGTTGTACTCGTTATGGTCACTGTCGTGAGAACCTCAGATCCAACAACTTGTAATATGAGTTAATTTTATATATATCATATGAAGGTTGCTGAAGTGAAACCCACTCGTGGCTTTGTTAGCAAATATGGCCTGTCACAGACCGTCATGTTCATGACATAATGGCAGTTGGCCACAAACTTCCTAGAGTGAATGGGAACACTGTGACATGGTTAAAAACCAGTGTTCCAGAGCAGAATATGTGCAAATACCAAGAATGAACTGTCATTCAGTTCCATCCACTTTTACATATTAAGGAAATTTGGCATATGAAGTTGAATGTAACTTTGTATGCCATTTTAAATTTAAAGCTGTTGGAGTACCATAACCCAATTTTTACATTTGTTACATTTTCAAGAAAAATTGTCAGATATTATCAGTGAATTAATTCAGAATTGTACTTGAAAGTTGCATGTGAGGGTGGCATGTACTTAGCATTAATATACCACAATAATTATTTTAAATTAGTTAGTTCAGGCTAAAAAAATGTAAACTTCATGTAATTATTATTTATATTTCTGCATATCATTCTTGTGATTGAAGAACAGTAGTGAAAAAAGGTGAATGATGAACTTGATTTCTGATGGCCTTAATTGAAATTAGTCTGATATAAGATACAGTAACAGGTAAAGCTCGAAAGCAAATGGTATCCTGTTATTTTGATAGCCTTTGTGCTCAGTATATAGGCACATATAAAATGGTGATGTTTGTGTTTATAATTAAGAGAATTTAATGGTTCCATTGGTAATTTGTATCAGTAACAACCAAAGTAACAAGATGAGGAGCACCCGGGGGCTACCCAGGTAGGTAACAAAAGGGGCAGATGGAGAAAGAACACAATCAAAGGTATTTATGTGTAGAGAGATTATATGTAGATATAAGGCAGCTTATTTTATTGTCTTTGTAAAATGTAAAGAAAATCATTGGCATCCACACGTTTTTCTGCAATCTTAGCCACTACCGTATACGAGTATGTGTGCCTTTCAGGACATAGTATTTTGATGAATACTCTGTACCCAGATATTCCTGATATTAGATATTGATTTTGAGCTTTCATGGCTGATAGATTTGTCTCACCTGCTACGGTAACCTGTCTAAAAAAAAAAAAGAAAGCTGAAGTTGTCCTTGTGCTTAACTAGCGAATCACTGTGCCATTAAGATGTGTGTGGAAGTAGATATAGAGATCCACATATTCTTGACCCTCTCACTGGTAGGAGGTCAGTGGCCAGCTTTGCGCCCCAGCTACTTACCCCCAAGGAAAGAACTCCCTTACACATTGGATAGGAGTCTGCGTGGGCTTCAGAAACAGTCTGAATGATGTGAAGAGTAAATGTCTTACTCCTACCAGGACTCAAACTCTGATCCCTCAGTAATCCAGCCTGTAGCGAGTCGCTATTCTGCACTAACCTGTATGATGTATATAATTTAGAAGAGTGAATTTACATTATTTTACATGTTCTACTTCTTAGTCTTAAAATTTGCTTTTTATACTTAAGAATGATATTTCATTCTTCATCATTTTTTATGAATATGAGAAATATGGCTGAAACAGTATTGTCTTTACATTCCACATAAAAACTTCTGTGAAATTCAGACTAAGAGTTTGATTCAGTTCTTTAATACTGTTTTTCCGTACCTCATGTTAGCTCTGATTGTTGACCATGCATTATTTCAGAGTGGGATATATCTAAATCAAGATGTAATTCTGAATGCTTATATAGTAGCAGAACTAGAAGAAAACACTTTTGTTTGTTTCCCTCATGAATTGAATGTGATGGTGTGGCAGCGGCAGAAAGTACAATTTCCTGCTTGATTTAGAACAGTAAGTAGCAACCCATTAGAGCATTTGAAATTTATTATCGATATGTGAGGTGTGAGTGTTAAGTAACAGGACTACAGCAAAGGGCTATGGGCTGGACGCCTGGTGTTTGATTCTCAGCAGCGGAAGACATTTCTCTAGTCCCCAGTGTCCAAACCAGCCCTGGGGCCCACCACACCTCCTATCCAAGGGGTGTCAGGGGGCTTAATTAAGTGCAGGGACAACTGTACCTCTTTACCTGAGAAAATATTAGTTTCTGCTCCATAGAATTAGTAATTTTAACTGGAAAGGTAGATGCTTTTAAACATTAAATTTCAAAGTAAATTATCTTCATATATGCATTCATATATGGAAAGTTTGGTAACTGCATGAGGATTGGCTTTAATACTCCAGTTACTAATGTGTAATGCAGTAAGCACACATATTGATGCTTAAGCTGAAAGTTACTGTTTCGTATCAGAGCCACACAACGTCTGTCAGGGAATAAAAGTGCCTAATGGTTTGCTTATTTACAGTATACCTTTAATTATGTTCATTAAATGTAACAAACTGGCCATTTTGTCCACTATCATCATGAAGAATGACATTTTGTGTTTCATCTTCCACAATAGACAAACTGCATATTAAAATGATTTTGGAATAATATTGGCTGGCACATCTTTCCAGCTTTTTTAAACCAGTGCACTATTATTGATACTGATGCTCTTTTTATTTTCCACTAGGTGTCAGTAAATGATTATCTTTATTCAGTCTGGCATCATAGTGTTTACAGACACGATGTTTGAATGGTTTGTTAATTGATACATTATTCATTCAGAGATGTTTCTTCATATTTTAATTAATTTATGTTTCGAGAGAAATGAAATATCTTAGAATTATCTTTTGCATGCTGTCTACACCAGAGGTATGTATTCCTTATGTGATTTCTGGTAATGTGACCCATTTATAATTGAGGAGAAAGAAGTAAAGGTTCACAAATTTTATAATAGATGTGAACCTAGACAGAAGTGTATTTGTCAGGTGATCATGAAACTGGAATGGAATCCATGAAGATTGCAGGAGGAACGTGGGAGAGCCCCATTAGTTAGTCAGTACTATGACATGTGGTTGGGTGGTGTTTGCAGGAAATCAAGACGGTACAACTGGAGGAGGTGTTGAATGAACGGGCAGATGAGGAGATGGAGGTATCGGACACCGAAGAGGATTACATGACAAATCCTAAGAAGAAAAGTAGGATTGATTCTTCAGAAGATAAAGCAAATCTTGCTGTGATTAAGGTTAGAAATTTAGTTTTTACTCGTGTTTGAGTGTTGCTTGGTGTGGTCAATGTAAGGAAAAAGTTATGTGTTAAATTAAGTAACACATGAAAGCATATGGGGGAGTTGAGATAGACCTTCATGCCATGGCTGCTTTACCAGCAGAGAAAGACCCCCAGTATCCATAGACTGGGAGGCTGAGTGGACCCACAGCAAGTCTAGTTGCTGTGGGGAAGAGAAACATCCTACCAGGAATCTAATCCTAATATTTCAGTTGTCCAGTCCATGGTGTGGTCTGTATACCAGCAGAGCTTTCCATGCTCCTTGGTGTGGTTAAGGTAATAGTGAAAACTGAATTCTTGAGTGTATAGCCCTTTGTGCGCTTGGCAACCTTAATGGGCCCTAATGTAATCTTCTGTTATATTGTATAAGACTGTTTGTATGTTAGCATATTGGTATTATCTGCTGATATTGCAGTAACTTTTAAAGGAGATCTAATTTCTGTGACACTTCTATCACATAAAATAGCAGCAGATCTTAAATTTCACCACCAAAAGCAACCAACGCTAGCACCTTGACTGTCACACCTTTATCTGTGTGAAAATATCTGACAGTCAGGGCCACTAACTTCTTGTCCAGGTAGTTAGATGAGTCAAACAATACAGATATGAAGCAAGCTTCTTTTAGCTCTGGAAGAACCTGTTTTGTTGCAAATGGCACAATAACATTGGTGATTATTGCTTTGCATTTTGTTTATGAAAATATAAATTTATCGTTGAAAAGTTTCCTCCTGATTGTGGTTCAGCAGTTCATAGGTTTGAAGCTGTGGTTATGCACTGCAGTATGATATGCAAAGACTGCTTCATGTGCTACTAGCAGTAACTGTTCTTCCATTTCACTAATATTCTTTGTACTTAAGTAGTTAACTTATTCTGTTATTGGATGATTTGTCTTGAACAGCCAGTTTATGTTGTTTCGTTTTCACATGATTGATGAAATCTGACCAACCACAATGTGCAATGCAAAATTTTGTGTTGCATAACATGCATTCAGCATTATCATTCACACCTTTAATAAATGGAGATTCACTATTAATACTGTCATTAATACTGCACTTGCATTTTGCCATCACTGTATGGGTGAAAACCAATTAATTCTTACAGGCTGTCACAGCACAATGTAATGCTCGACAAAGAATGCAGAGAATGTTAAAAATATAAATTCCGTTATGGAAGCAAATCAAAATACTACCAACATAAATGGAAAAAGACAGACATATTGCCAACGGAAAAGGTATTCGCACCTGCTGATGAAAATACACTGAGTTTCTCCTCCGTGACCAGCTGAGTGCTGAGTAGATGAAGCTTCAGACTTAACACATTCACTGCCAAAATTGACTTAAGTTCATTTATTGGTAAGGTTTTGATATTGTTGGCATAGACATAAGTCAGTTTAGCAGGTCCGTTTTTGTTTAGAATAAAATCACATTAGATTGATTGGCCTATGAATAGATATTCATGTATGGATCTCATAAATCTCCAGGCATTACCAGCTTCCTGCAGAAATTTTGAATAACAGCTGAATGATGTCCACTATAATAATCAACAAAGAAAACAGAACACATTTTAGAATTAGTGGATGACATCCCCATGGTTTCACCCCTTAATTGACAACCTGAAGTGCAGTTTACATTCTAAGATAGTGGGAATGTGACCGAGTACTTGAAGTACTTTGTAACTCATACTATGCAGGTAGTCATCAATGAGAACCATTTGTATGCACAGTGGCAAATTGTGGCAGTGTTCTGAAATCATGTGCAAGGGATTGATGTAATAGGAAGCACCCGCAGCTTTTAGTAATTATGCCACCGTTTATACCAGGACAATTATGAAAACAGCATCCAATTCATGAAAGGACAACAATTATGATTTTCTGACTAAAAAATTTTGGAAAGGTAAAAGCCAGGGTAGGCCACTTTGTGTTGGATGCAGAATCTTAAGCTTTCAAGAAAATGGCTGATAGATGTGGAATGAACTGTCAGCACAGCAGAAATTATGGAGGTCATTAGCCAAGAGCACGCAAACAAGGAAAACCAAATCGAGTCACTCATTACACCTCTGCACACTCTGTGAGCTGTACTGTTTGGTATGTTTTGAGGTTCTCACAGTGGTGGTTGTGAAGAGTACTATTTTCTGAGTTATGATGCAAAAGCCATAACCAAAAAGGGATTAAATAATATGAGGTTCGAGAAAATTACATAATGAGGAGCTTCATAATTTGTACTGTTGATGAAATGTAAACAGAATGATCAAGCCAAGGAGGATGATGATGGCAAGACATAGGGAAGAACAGTAATGCATACAGGATTTTTTTAGGAAAGCAAGAAGGAAGTAGACCACTAGCTAGAGTTAGAGAGTTAGAGTTAGAAATTGATGATAGAGAAGTAGGATAGTGTGCTGTGAATCATATTAATCTGAGTAGTTACTATAGGATTCTGACGATGGTGTATAACACACTGATATATTGGGTTTTTGGACTTCATCCATCGTCCTGGTTTTTAAGATAACTAATAAAAACACGACGTTTCGGAAACTGGATCTGTTTCCGTCCTCAGGCAAAGGAAAACGCCTATTCTGTTGGGTCCATTAGAAAGAGCTAGCCTCAATCACAGGACAATGGATAAGTCCAAAAACCCAATATATCAGCATATTAATCTGGCTCAGGATAGGAACCAGTTTTGGGGGGGTCCATAAAACGTTGGGAAATTCTTGAGCAACTGAGCGACTATCAGTGTCTCAAGAAGGATTCAGCTGCATGGAGTCAGTTGGTCAGCTGATGTATGGAGTTCCCTGTAACCCAAAGGCTGGTATGCACAGTATCACATTCACAGTGTCTGCTAAAGGTAACATGAAACTATTTTCACTGCAGTGCCTGTCACAGTGCAGAACTCCAAGCCTGCATATGGAGTGATACCTGGATTTAAGGACCTTGCAGCAAATGTTTTAAAGTCTGAGGATGTGATAATGTCCTCTCTGGTTAGGGCTATTGAGTGTGTTAAGGAGATGACAGATGAGTGTGGAGGACTAGCAGTTTGGTAAGTGTAAGTAAAAAGGTAAAGTTGTCCCCAGAGGAGTAGGCATACAGCTCCACTCTTCTTGACCTCAGCACTAGATGGAGATGAATGGTCAGCTTTACACCCTCTAGAGAAAGGGTCCCTGGTACCCATTGGATAGAGGCTGGGTGGGTTCCAGAGCCAGTCTAGATGCTGTGGAGGAGAGAAGTAGCCCTGGCCATCCAGCCTGTAGCCTGTCACTGTACCAACTGAGCTGAAGCTAGAAAATAGATTGTTCTGGTTTTCTTACAAATCTGTTAAGAGTTATGGTTTTGGTTGATTTTCAGGAAGAGAATGACAGTTTACGATGTCAGTTAGAGGCATATAAAAATGAGGTTGACCTGGTAAGATCTGACCTCAAGGCTGAATTGGACCAGAAGGAGAAGCAGCTGAAAATGTTACAGCAGACACTGCAAGGAATGCAACAAGTAGGTTTGGAAAGCACTGTATATAACATTCTCTCATTATGATGTACTGAAAGAAATTAATTTATGCTACACTCTGATATCGGATTACCTTTCATGATATTATTTGTCAGGTACAGAATGAACAGTTTTTTTTATATAAACTTCGGTGCATAAAATATTTAAAAGAAGTGTTTGCAGTTGAGGATGTCTGCAGTGTTCAATTGTCTGGAACCAGAAGCAAAATAAATATATTTTGTGGGATGTAACACCATGTAGTATGGTAGAAGTTAACTGAAATTTCAGAGGAATGCCCTGCTTCCATCCTCAGGGTTGAGGAGTCAGCCAAGCAATCATCCAGCATGAAGCAGTCAGCCAAAACAATGATCACTTCCACTGAACTACAAAATATCACATCCCAAAAGGTAGCTGTCTTCATAGTCAGCAGTGTGAGAACTTAAAATCCAACAGAGGAAAAGTACTTCATTCTGTAGTTTACTTTTCGTTATGTTTTCTTCAACATAAGCTATACAAAAGTGTGTAAGGTATGCAGTCTACACAACAATATTCTGTATTTAAAAACAAAGAAGACACTACTCTGTCAACATTTGCTTTTATTATGCTTTTACAGACACAGAATATTTTGACCCTTATACCGGGTCATCATCAGGTGTACAATGCTCCAGTATGAGCTGATGAATTGCAATTATCATCTAATTCTTCGAGTAAGGATCCTTATTGTGTCTTGAAATTATTGAAATGCATAAATACATGTATTAAGTTTTGGTCAAAATTTTCAAAACTGAAAGTCCTTGAATAATAAAATTTAAAATTAAAGATATAAAGATTAAAATTAGAAACTAAAGATTAAGACATGAAAGTAAAATTCTGTTTTTATGATAAGACTGCAACCGCTACATGTTGGCCTGGTTTTTATGCCGGTAGAAGCGACTATAGTGTGGGGCGCCCGCATATTGGAATCTTCTTACATGGGGTAGGTCATGCAGTCATGACCATAGTAAATGCCTTACGGAGCTATGCTCATGATTCAGTATGTGATCTGTAACAGTTTAATTATTATTATAATATAAGATGAACTTGTGGGTGTGATGTTATTAAACTCATTGTTAGGTTATTTGGTATATGTACTTATGTATATTAGATTATTCTTATGAATGGTGTGTATGGGCTGCTCCCTGCGTTGGTGCTGTCTCTGTGTTGTAGCCATTCGATCTAGAGTACATGTTTGTGGGGTATCCGCATATGTGGGGGCATGTTTATGGAGAGTCGAGTGGTATGAGGTAGAGGGGAGGTTACTGTGAGTGGTTTGACAGATGGGGAGGGTGTGGGGTTATTTTGTGTGTGTGTATTTACTAGAATATCAAATGTGGGGTTATGTACATATACCTGTGAACGTATCATTCAACGGCAGACCTTTCTTCGTTATGTCGTATATATAATATCTTTCCAAAGTGTTGAGTTTGGCTCCCTTCCTTTCTATATGTAATACTTTCATGGTCTGGTCCATCGTGTTAAATCTATGTCCCGTTTCCAAAATGTGTAGTGCAAATTTAGAGTGTTGTTTATTTGTCCTCATAGCATTGTTGTGCTCTCTGTAGTGACCTCTGAATATGTGTCCCATTTACCCGATATATTTGAGTGAGCATTCACCACATTGTAGCTGTTATATACCACTCTGGTTGTATATATCCCCTGGTATTCCTTTAAGTTTCAAATGGTGTATGATTGTATTGGTTGTCTTAGAAGGAATTTTAAGGTTTGTGTTTCAAAATAGGTAAGTGATGGTTCTAGTTTCTGGTCCAAAATATGTGACGGTGGCCCATTTGTTTGTTTGTTTGTTTGTTTGTTTGTTTGTTTGTTTTTTTTTCCTTTTGGGTATTTAGTGGTGTTTGTGTAGAATTTACGGCAACTTTATTTTGGTGTTGAAAATGTGTGGGTAGTTATTGGTACTCGTTATTCTTTAGTATCTTGTTTGTAATTGTCAGTTTCCGGTCTTTATTTTCTTGGGTGAGGGGATATGTGATCATACAGTTTAATAGATGAATCCTTTGTAAGTTACATAAGGTAAACTCCCTGTGCTTAACTGATTAAGGAGAGCGCAGTGAAGATGTATGAGGCAGTGGATATACAGGGTGTCCCAGGAGTTTGGTGCCATACTTCAGGAGCGTACTGAGGGTCCCCTATAGAATAACTTTAAAATAGGAACCCATGTCCAAAAACGTAAAATAGCAGCGCTAGGGTGGCATTTAAAATCATTTCATTTAAACTTGGTGCTTCATTGTCAAACTGCATTGCATAGAGGAATAGCCATCCACCAGCACTCGTGCCATTGCCAAGATTGTGAGGACATCAAAATGAAGTGTTTGGAGGATCCTGCATGACCAACAACTTTATCCATATCATCCAATGCGAGTAAGTGCCGTAGGTCCAGCTGACTTCGTACCACGAGTTCAATTTTGTCAATGGATACTGAACCAGTGTTTACATCAGCCCAACTTCCTGAATCACATGTTATTCACAGACGAAGCACAGTTTACAAGGAATGTCTAGTTCAGCTGTCAAAACAGCCACATTTGGGCTGACAAAAACCCCAACGTTACTGCAGTAGGTTACCACCAGGCGCAATTTTCTGTCAATGTCTGGGCGGGCATCATTGACGATCACTTGATTGAGCCTTTCCTCCTACCACCGCGACTCAATGGGCCCTTTTCCAAGGTGTTCCTGAAACATATCCTTCCGACTTTTCTAGAAGACGCGCCACTGATTGTGCGGAGGCAAATGTGGATACAGCATGACGGAGCGCCGGCACACTTCAGCATTGTATCACAAGACTACCAGGATGCTGCTTTTCATGGTCATTGGATAGGAAGAGGAGGCCTAGTGCCTTGGCCACCCGATCCCCAGACTTCACACTTCTGGACTATTTCATCTGGGGCCATGTGAAAAGCCTACGACATGCCTATGGATAATGAATTGGAGCTATTGGCCAGAATACTTGTTGCATGTGACGTTATCCGTGAGACACCTGGAATATTTGAAAGTGTGCTCCAAAGTTTCTTTTGTCGATTTAACGCATGCATTGAAAATGGAGGGCGCCAATTCCAGGTGAGTCTTAAGAATTTGGAGGGGGTGATATGCCTGTGCATGCTCTCCGGCATTGAAGCGCCAAGTTTAAACAGAATGATATTAAATGCAGCCCTAGCACTGCTATTTTACGTTTGCAGACTTGGATTCCTATTTCAGAGTTCTATAGGGAACCCTCAGTATGCTCCTGAAGTATAGCACCAAACACCTGGGACACCCTGCATAGATCCATGTTTTTTTGACCTCTGCACTAGTTGGAGGTGAGTGGTCTGCTTCACGCTCTGGTCGCTTTACCCCCAAGGTGAGAGTCCTCAGTACCTGTTGGATAGGAGGCTGGATGGACCCCAGAGCCGGTTTGGATGATGTGGAGAAAATTCTTGCCCCTACCAGGACTTGAACTCTTACTCCTCAGTCATCCAGCCCATAGCCAGTCGCTATACTGACTGCATTGTCCTGGATCTTTTTAAGATGCGTAAATGAGTAAACTTCACCTTGTGAGTGATTTTAATTGAAACTATACAAGAGTGACTTCCATATTAGTAGTTTGCAGTCTCAGCTGAAGGATAGCCTCTTTAAACATTTAAGTTACTGGATGTTTAAGTGTGTCAGTAACCTTTGCATTAAATGCTCTTATGATGGTAACTTTAATGCCCACAATACATATGATACTTGTGACTGTCCTCACAATTGCAGGACTTACATTGGCTGTGTTTCCAACCACTCATCGCTGAGTTGTGTTAGGAGATTTCTGCTACAAATAAGTAATGTAATGATGTGTCTGGCATGATGATGTTGCTTGTTATGATTCAAATACCCACTGTTAGTACCTCCATCACGTCAGTTGATTACATAGCTAAGCCAGCTCCCTCTGTGCCGTTCCTCCGGTCTGTGACTCTAGCTCCCCTGTGGAAGCTATGTACAACTAATGATGTGATGAGGCTACTTATAAGAAGATAACTTTGAGCAGGAGTTCAAAGAGTAATTCTTTGTAAAGTGAGAGCTCTCAGTATATGTAGTCACTTGGTATTGTGGAGTTTTTTAATGCCTGCAGGTTATGCAGATGAAGCATTTCCTTCTTCAGGCGATTATGGATGGTAATTTTTAGGACTCCAGTCATGAGCTCTTATGGCTTCTGAGAACTGCCACGCCAGTTTTGCCATAAATGTTTTAGGAACTTCTCCTGAGGTGCGACTGTGACCTGAATGTGGTTGTTATACCACTGAGCCAGTTTGTAAATTTCTTCAACAGTTTTCCAATTGTGCTGTGTGCCATTTTTTCACAGATGATCGTTGCTTGTGTTTGTGGATCTTGCTTACTCAAGGGAATAATCTCGCCATCTTCTCCCTGTCCTATAAACATTATTCAGTATTCCAGACTCCTTTTTTAGCCTACTTTATTTTGAAAAGATAAAATTGGGCTTGTGAAATCACCTTACTGTCTGTGTTCCCCCTATTAACTTTTGAATGCCTGAGCCAATATTTGAGAAACTTGATATGTATATCATGGCACCTGAGCCCATCTCAACAGCGTACTAAATAAATCTTTCCCATCAGTCTGTGTGTCTATGTGTATCCTTGTATCATTGCTAGGCTGTGGCTCGGTAAACATGTTGTTGTGGCAATAAATACACATGCAACAATATAACAATTGTTTGGTGCATATTTTTTTATGCAGTCTGTGTCCTATCAAAGGAAAGTAGGCAATTAGTTCTTCCCAGAACTTGTTATATATTTCACCAGAGTTCCTTCAGTATACAGTCTTGGAATTATGTATTACAAAGTTTCCTCAATAAGTCAGGGTACTAGCACCATACAGAATTGCTTCAAACTGATATTTACAAGGTATTAATCTGTATATTACAGCAACTTATGGAGTCAAAGCGACGCCAGTCAGAAGACGAAATTAAGGTGCGAGAGTTGCAGGCAAGACTGAAGTCAGCAGGTGAGGTGCAGGCCCGTCTCCAGCTCATCAAAGCAGATCAGAGTGGGGAGCTGGCTGGAGACAGCATTCAGCAATCAGCAGATCCTGCGGTTGATATGGAGGAGGAAGGGAAAGCAGATACAACAGATACATCATCCTCAGTTTCCAGGTTATCAGACAGAGAAGCAAAACTGATAGGTATGTAGGTGTTATTATAAACTTTAATAATATTGTGACGTGGATGGCGCAACAGGAAGTAGGGGTCATGTGAACTCTGCGGTCTCACGAGTGACGTCACATACCCCCACTCCTTCCATCATTACGCAATGCTCGGTAAACACCCCCCCATGGTGACGTAACAGCAGAGCAGCTGTGTCAGGCAACAATTGTCGCGGTGATGTAACAGCATAGGAGCCACTGCCGCTGCTACGGTAACAGGCCAGTAAACACTCTGCCCTCCCCACGGTGACATAACAGGAGACACCGCTGTTAACACAGGTCAACGGAACGGTATAAGAAGCCGGCTGAGCAGTAATGGAACTGAGAGCACTAATCATTCAGGCATGCAATGAGATAACTGAGGATATGTGCTGTCGAGTAATTAACATCACAGTTCGTGTTGAAGAAGTTTTCAGGTGTAATGGTGGTTATATTGAACCCTTGATTCAGAGGATAAATCTCCTTGCAATGGTCTTTCTTTTTGTGTCTTAGTTTCTAGTATTGCAATTTAAATAATATATTATTAATAAATCAAATACTGGATCATTTTGTGGGCCACTCTGTATATTTAAACAGATACCTTTAAAAAACGAGAAAACCCATTTTGGCGAAATAGGTTGAAGAAATAGTTTTAAGCTTATGTATTAATAAAAGTTTCTAATATAAAATGTAAACTCAAAGGAAAGTACTCCTCATATGCACTGCCATGAAAACTTAAAAAAGTCCAACAATGTAAAGCTTTCTAGTATTTACTAGTATATAGTTGAATCTGTAGTAATTAAATTTCGTTTCTTGTTTTAGGTCTCCTTGCAACTTTCCTTCATGTCCATCCATTTGGTGCAGGAGTGGACTATGTGTGGTCATATCTCCAGAAAATGGAGCCGACTTTACGACCTGGTGAAGTAGAATCTCTCATGAGTCGTTTTCCGACTGTGTTTCGCCAGGAATTGTCTGGTATTGGTGCCAACATGGAGAGAAGATGGCAGTTTGCTGGCTTTAAGACAAGTCTTAGTATCTAAAGTTGGGTCATGCATGTTACATACATAATTATTTTCATGATCATGTTATTAACAATGCAAATTTCAGCAATCTGGTGAAAAATTTAATACAAGTGAACTAATGCCAATTACCTTTGCTTGCTTTTTATTTTAGTATGTGATCATGGCGGTACATGCTTTGTAATATCATCTATGTAATAAGTGTCTATCTTCCAACAGGAATTATGTGATTTTATATTTGTTGTCTTTTATGTAATTGTGATCTATATACCTTACCTTTTTTTTATTCATACCTTACACTAGTCCACTGAAATATTTCATTATGCCACAGAACTGATCTTCAGTGAATCAGAATATTCACTGAAGCAAGACTCCCCTGACTTATTTCTCCTTGGGCGTTTAAAAAAGATACATTATTGAGCCTTTCGAACCTGAAATCAATCTGTCCTACCTCACAGAAAACACATTACTGTATGTCTATTACAAAGAACAATTGGTTAGTCCTGTTTGTAGAAACAGTGACAATTGTATGAAACACAGATACACTGTGAGCAAAATTCGGACTCTTTAATATCAAAGCACGAGGCACATGTGGTAACTCCTCCTTTAACCCTTCAACGATGCAGGACATTTAATTCCTACGCACTCCTTGGGATGGAGGGTATTTAAACATTTAAAACTATAACTGCACCATTTCATTTAAAGTGTAATTAATTGGGAAAAACTGGAGTTTTGTTTTTCTAATTTTCACACTATGTTCAGAAATGCATATAGAATCAGTGTACTGATCCACACGGCTTTAAAATTATTTTTTGGTACAGTAAGCCTGTAAAATATCTCAGAAATTCAGCTGGGTGTGATAGTTGTGAAAACATTCCACAAAGAGTCTCACATTATACGCGTCACACCAGTACACAGTTTTTGACATGCAACATGCCATTTCTGTGGTCTTGATTTCTTAGCAGTTGGTAGAATCTTGCTTATAAAATTTCTTTCTTTTAGACAGGGCACTGTTTGTCTGATGATTGTCGACCCGGCCCTTTATGTTCTACTGCATGTGCTTATCTTGATTGTCATTTACCACAGAATTGAGAAAAGCACAAACATCCATTTTCAGTGTCAAATTCCAAATCTCATTAAACTTTGTTATGATTCGGTTTGAAGTAAATATATCGTCCACTGGTTGTGACATAACACAGCCCGCCACTTTGCTCCTCATGGCTGGCCTTGGGTGCTATATCCAGACTGCATGATGCGTATTTATACAACAAAGGGGAATTACAGTAGCACCATTCATATAGTGAACTGTTTATCATTTGCTACATGGCAGTCATAACACACTTCTTAGAGTCAACATCACACCTCAAAGTCATATCTTCCCCATGTGTTTTCTCATGGTTACAAATTCCGATATAGAAGCAACGCTGGTCCGAATATGCCTCAAGAGAATTGACTTTTCATTCGATCAGCATCCAGGACAGCACACAGTATCGATCTAACATATTTAGTTCGGAAGAATTCCTCCAGGGGTGAGGATGGATTTGCATGGTATTAAGCGCGCCAGGTGTTGAGGTAGAAAACTTTTTCAAAGAATTTAAATGTAATAACTGCTGTGGGAAGTTTAAAAGTGGGACAACGAATATGTGAAATGATAGCATGAAATTTCCTCTTTAATTTCATACCAAAATAATTACTTTACATGAAAAACAACAGTTCAAAACATGAGCGAAAACTTGACGCTGCACTAGGCGTGTCAGATACAGACTTCGGTGACATGTGACAGAAGCCGCTGGCATGCCTTGCATGGACTACGACACTGAAGGGTAAAAAGTTAAAAGTAATGCAAGAATACAATATTAATGTTACTGATGAAATTTCTGAAAAGGAAGGTTGTATAATCTTTAAGGAATGCATCATGTTGTGCTATCCTGTATGATTTTGTTTGGTTTCCGTCTCAACACAGCTATCAAAATCTCGTTCACATCTCACTGTATACGAGTATAATGAGTTTATTGATCTTAATAGCACGAGAATATGTTACATGTTTCTGCTTATAAAGCCATCTTCAGGCAGTACATATTAATGAATATTTTTAGACAATTAAATTGTGTTTAATATACGAATTCATATATTATAATATAATTATGGTATGCACTTGATTTTCTATTTAGTTTATATATTTAAACTTGTATCTGAATTAGTATAAGTCATATATAAAATGTATAGATTGGAATGAAAGTCTTGCATTTAAATAGATGCTTACAGATGTACATATTCATATAACTTTAAGTGTCATAAAATGTATTGCATTGTTATATTGTATTAAAATGTTTAGACAATGAAGTAAAATTGTATTCGTTATATTCATGGTACTTGTCATGCCTAAATATCGTTTTGTATGTATGTATGTGTGTTCTATTCAGGTTGGTGTCTGTTAACTTAATTGTAGCATTATAATATACAGTAGCTTCAGGTGTTGTTGATGTTTCATTGTGGTTGGGCGTGTTATATTCCTACTCCCATTTCATTTTCCTTGTGGGGCAGCTGTACTGCTTGGAACCAGTTGTTGCTATGTTCTGTAGTGTTTTGTTCTGTTTTTCCGTCATCATTTCAGGCCTCTCTTCCTATCCCCCCCCTTACCCTTCCTTCAGTGTTCTAGGGTTCTAGAAGGTTCTCTCATTCCATTCTATCATGTGATCACATCCTCTCCAGCTGTTTCTAGCTTGCTTAGTCTAGCAAGGAAAAAGAGGAAGGAGACTACTCGTTTACAAGCAGTGTGTGAAGGAGGTAGGGAAATTCTGTTTAGTTTTCATTGTTCCAAACTCCGTTTGGCTTCTCCTACAGGTAGTTGAGGGCTAGCATCCCCCCTTGTTTGAGACAGCTGCTTAGAGCGTCGCTGTTAGGGGTTTCTAGGAGTGTCTTACTTTACCTACGTGGGGTTTTGTATTGCCCCATATATTTTTTGGGGGCCTGTTTTGACTTTTGCAAACACAGTGTGCTTGTATCCCTTGCGAGAATTTTCCAAGAGGGAGTGGCTCGCCATCGACATGGTAGCTGGGTGGAATTCTGTCTTGAGTGCCCCCCCCCCAAAAAAAATTCAGGTTGTTTTAGTCTTCTTCCCTACCGGCTGTTGACGGCGAAGGATCCCCTAACTAAGCAATGTCAGTTTTGGGGTATCATGAGTAGAGTTTGCATTTGGATCATCCATTTTAATTCATTTTATATAAAATATTTTTTATTTAGTTATCTGGAGATTTTCTGGCTGTCGTTGCTTAAGATTGCAACTTGGACGCCCCATTCTACCTGTGGGATGGAGGCATTGAGAATGCAATGTATGAATGAAAGCGGCATCGCCCCCTTTCTAAAGAAGGATAGAGAGGGGAGGGGCTGCTCACTTGTGGTCAGCTGCACTGCTCAGAGCCAGTTTTTGCTATGTTCTGTAGCATTTTCTGTCTTTTTCAATGATCTGGTTTTCTTTATGTTAATGGTTTATCCACCTCTCACGTTTCTGCTTCTGGCAGGGTAGGGTGGGAAATGACTCATTTTCATTGAAGTCGAAAGCTGCCACATAAGGAGTGATGCGTGGGTGGACACATCATGGTGCGAGGCCCAGGAATTGTTGAGCCATTTGACTGGACGTTTGTACAAGACATTTTCCCTCAGCCACCTCAAAATATTGCAATAGAAGTTTCCAGTCACGGTCTAGCATGGTGGAACGAATTCCTTATGAATGATGCCTTCATTCCAGTCTAGAAAACCCAAATTAATGGCAGTGGGGGATTTGTTGTACTGACTACGCAACTACCTCTCTCCACTAAAGTTGGCACTAACTTCTCCAACAAGTGGCGGTCGCTCGGTCGGTATAGTTTACTTGTGGACTAATGCCATGGAGTTCGTTTTGATGCCTTCATTGTCAAAAAAAAACAAATCAACATTGATTTGACATTGTTTCAAACTTGTGCTTTCTTGGATCACAGTGAATTTGGTGTCTTTCACTGAGATGATAGCTCCTTCATCTTTGCTGTACCTGTAAACCCAAGAATCATCACCAATAATGATGATGGCGATGAAGCTGGGGTCACTTTCAGTCTGTTCGTTAAGCTCAAAGCAGATGGTAACGCAGTGTTCCTTTTGGTCATTTCCGAGCAGCCTGGGCACAGATTTCGCTGCAATGTGCTGTATGTTAAGCTCTTGTGACAGATTTTGCTGACATGTTCCATACAACATTTTGAGAATGTCACAAATGTCATGAATCATTCGCCTTCAATATTCCAGGATAACCTCTTGCACTCTTGCCACTTTTGTAGGTTTGGGTTAGGCCTAGGGCATTACCACCAAATGCTTCTTTAAGAATTTTGTGTGTTTCTGCTGTACCATCTTACCGAGTTTGAAATAGAATTTGATGCAAATTTGTTGCTCATTTACATCAGTCATTTTAACAATTTGGTGTTATTGCAAAACAGCACTAACACAACATTAAAACAATGCACATAAAAAATGAACACATGTACATAGCTTGATGCCACTTAGCAGACTGGTTCACAATGGATACAGCTTGCGACACCTAGTGGCTCATAACCATGGTATAAGCGGTTTGCATGCAGTGTTCAACTTTTGGGAAATTTTGGGTAGCACCTTGTACAAATGTCTGCCTATTGAAAAGTACTCAATTCTTTTTGAGCCATCGTAATAGAAAATGTAAGGACGGCTTAAGATGTAATTTTCTAGTGTGCTTTCCAAGGTGGACAGAAATAAGATATAAGACTATTTAAAAATCAATCCACGTATATATATCAGTAATGTCAAATTATGCCACTTACATAACCTTTAATTGGATGAGATAATTCAGTTATTTTGTGTAACCCCTTATCCAGAGAATGTACTGCAATGTAATGTAATCTCTGGATACAGAGTTAGACAAAATAACTGAATCACTCAACTAACAATTACAGTGACAGCAATACAACTCTTTAGATTTAGCAGTGGCATCTTTAACAGGATAAGACATAAAAAAGACATGGAGCAGGAGTCCAAGACGGGTAAGTCAAGACAGAGCGACGCTAACCAAGGTAGGACTGCAACACTGAAAAAAAAGAAGGCATGAGACAAATTAATACAAATGTAATATAACAAGAATATGTATGAAAATACAGAAAAAATGTAAAATATCAGTGAATTAAAGCAGAAGTCATAAATATGAGAAATATATCCATACAGTTATGCAGAACTGCATAAGGTACACAACTAAGTCTGAAAAATTGCGGCAAAATCCAATAGTGCATGACATTAAGCAGAATGACAAAATGGACAGAAATACAAAATGTATGACTCAACAGAAGTAATTGCAATAATAGTATTGGACCTTCAGACATAACACTGGCCTCAGCATGACAGCAACAAGGCCCAAGACAAGGAAAATTGCTATGGTAGGCTTGCAAGACATACTAACAAAGATTTACCTTGCTGACATACAATACCACATACAAGAATTCCAAACACAAACTCTCACGCATGCAAGGATCCTCCCCATCAGAGTTTTCGACACAAAACAATTTAATTAAGGCAACACATAATAACAAAACATAAATTTGAAGCAGAACCAGAAACGTCTACTTGTGACAAAGTCTATGGCAGAAGAACAAGTCACAACAGATGGCTCCCAGGTCAGGAATGGGATGAAGTATGTGAGGGCCAAAGTCAGGTGATGACAATGTAGGAAAGAAGGAAATTCCTCCTGAGAAGGGCATGGGAATGACCAGTGTTACATGGATGGTAACCCGAGGGGAACTCAGAACACCTACTCAGGATCACTCCCTTCATCCAGGACAGTAAAACCAAAGCACGACTGACAGCTCCTGGCTAAGAGCCTCCGTGTGGCACCGCCATAGGGCTCCACAAAAACAGGCTTCAAGGTGGGGGCTGCCACAGTCCATATTTCTCCTCTCTTGCTCTTTGCACACCGTGCTTTGGTTTGAGGCTCAGGGCAAAGAAGGGGGACTGGAGGACCCAGTCCATTTCTTCCTGCAACATACACACTCCAGGCAGGCTGCATCAAACAGGAGTAAACACCATCCACACACACACATGAACAGTGGACGTCCTTTCTGTGAATGTGGTGGTCTGAATAGCCACCAGAGATGACGTGATGCCTCTCTGACATTCTGAGCCCTAGTAGTGTTGGAGGTGTGAAGTTGTAAGTTTGCTAACCACAACCAGAGGAAATGGGTGAAAAGAAAGGAAAGTTCCAGGTGCAACACACACAAAAGAAAACAGCCTTACAAACAAGAAGCCAAACCAATAATCAGTAATCAAATACCGGAAATATGCTGTTTGCTTTCATATTAAAAAAAATGGATATGGCTTGATGAAGAGCATTGGGTATTCAAGCAGATATTGTGGCATGGAGTCTCGTTGCTGAGCAAAGACCGTGAAACAAACAACTAGCCAACAGCCATTACTACGCATTGAGTTAGTTGGTTGGTGAGGGAGTGATTTAGAGGACTGCTGTGGTACACTCCTTGTGAGCTATTGCTGTCAGAAGTTGCGTAGCTAGGGTCAGGGACAGTTCAGGAACCCAGAGTAAAGGAAACGTCCCCTGTTGAAAGCGGCTACCGAGCAATGGTGAGCGAATCCGTGATTGTGAATGCTAGTGTGTGTGCAATCACACGCTGCATCAAAGAATCCAAGAAATCCGAGCATAGTCCAAAACCCATATATAGTCACACTCCATAAAATTGTGATATCGTATTTTCTCTAACCTGGCCCCATATAGCTCATGTACACAGCGGACATTCGTCATTCGTGTATATTTGCCAATGCATGTTGGAGGGATATTTGTATGAATATTCGCAATTCATCTGAGTTCCGAGGGTTTTCAGTAAATTGCACATAAGTCAAAGGGTTGATGAATATTTGGCATTCAGTTCAGTAGTTACGCCAAACTGATCCCACACAACTTGTGCACTCAGCAAATAGTCCTAACAATTCGGTTCCTTGCCGAGTGGCAACATGCCAGTAACCTTAATTATTCGTTAAAGGAAGGACTGTTGATTTCACGTGAACAGAAGGAAGTGATAATTTTGAAAAAGGGAAAGCCCATTAATTTGGCCGTAGAAGAAGAGAAAATACTGAGGTGAAATCCATTGATTTCCGGTTGAGTGCAAACTGATGTGAGATGATACATGTTTCACATTTCAAAGCAAAGTGAGAGAGAAAATATCCCATGAATTATTTACCCAATTTTGTGTTTGAATTCTCATAAAGAATTCCATTTAAGACTGTGGAAGTTCTCGGACAGTATTCTTGAAGAGGTCTACCTTCTGGGATATAATGTCATGAATTCCATTGAAAGTAAAATCTACTTTACAGAGGAACATGAATAAGGCAAGCAAGAAACCATTTCTTGCTTGTCCCTGAACTATGCCACATCTCACCACACCACTCACCTTCATGTTGCAGTCCCCTAATGTCTATGTCTTCTTTCCTCTGTGTGTCAAACCCTGTCTGCGTCTCACTACAGTCGGACTTCAAATTCTGCATCTCAACATGGACTCCTATATACTCTGTGCCTCACGGCACAAAAAGTGTGTCTCTCTCTCAGGCCCCCAGCTTGTGGGATTTGCTGGAAACCCACCATGCCCCTATTTATTTGAAATCCTGCAATAAACCAACACCCTTATCAGTAAACAAGTTTTTCCATCACACTCTGTCATGAGGGAAACATGAATTACTGAGAGCAGAAATTGCGAAAAGGCAGTTGAGCCACTCGCCTACCACGAGTACCATTTGAGGCTTCACTATTTTCTTCTGCTATGATGCTTGGACGGCGGGGGGGGGGGGGGACATGCTACAAGCCGGANGAAGGTCGCAGGATCGAATCCCAATGAGGTCATTAGATTTTTTTTTCAACTTACCTAATCCTTCCAGCCGCACTATGGCCCTGGGGTCAACTCAGCCTCTAACAGAAATGAGTACCAGGAATATTCTTGGGGGTAAAGGGTGGCTGGCAAGTAAGGCTGACAACCTATCTATGAACCGATTGTCTAGAAAATGTGGGAACCTCAACATCTTACAACCTTATGGGCCTCCACGGCCTGTTACAGGGATACATTTACTTTTTTTACTTTGTGATGCTTGGACGGAAGTGTTGAAAAGGGCCGATTCCTCATCCTCTTGAACAGATTAAACAAACTAGTACCCACTTATTAACATTTCCATACTAAGTCAAGTCTCATCCACGTACTCATACTACAAGATATTTTTGAGGGGGTTACAGTTATTTGGATGACACCTTTGTAATCTGGGCACATGGATAAGAAAGACTACAAAAGTTCCATCAACACACTTACTTACTTGCTTACTCATGGAGCTGAGCCCTTCTGGAGGAGCCGCCAATTCTGCAGCTACTCAAGAATTTCCCAGCATTTTATGGAACCCGAAGGTTCATTACCGTGGTCACAAGAGCCCGCCACTGGTCCCTATCCTGAACCAGATCTATCCAATCCATACCATCCCATTCTATCTCTCCAAGATCCATCTTAATATTATACTCACACTTACGCCTTGGTCTTCTTAGTGGACTCTTTCCTTCTGGATCTCACTCAAAAATCCTACACGCATTCCTATTTTCCCCATGTGTGTTACATGCCCTGCCAATCTGATCCTCGTTGACTTGATCAGTCTAATTACTTGGAGAAGAGTACAACTCATGAAACTCCTCATTATGTAGTTTTCTCCAACATCCTGTCGCTTCATCTCTCATCGCTCTAAATGTTCTCAACATCCTGTTCTCAAACACCCTCGGTCTATGTTCCTCCCTTAATGTCAGAGACCAAGTTTCGCACCCATACAAAACCACAGGCAAACTTAAATTTTAATGTATTTTAATTTTTACGTTTTTAAACATCAGAGGAGAAGACAGACAGTTCTGGACTGTTTTAATCTTAGGGCGAAAGTATGGAACTAAGAGATCTACTCACGTCTAGGGCACCGTGAAGTAACTGTTTTTCCGAGTGTCGTTGCGTAGTTCCAAAAGGGCGGTTTCGGTTCTGTAAGGACTACGGAACGGTGCCTGGAATTCTTTAGTGCTGGTATCTTGGTCTTCCTGTTCCTCCTCAGTAATATAGCAAATGCCGCCCCCGCCTTGTCACGGGTGGCAGAGTACAATTTCTGGATCAACAATTCAACTCCTAATTATTATTCATTTAAGAGCAAACTTTACAACCCAGAGGCCAAACACAGAGTGAACACGAGTAACGGTGGGGGGGAAAATAACAAGAAAATACATAAAAACAAAATGCAATGACAAAGCAATGGAATAATAACAATAATTCCATTAACAAAAATCAAAGTTGACATGATGAAGCGATAATAGTAAAATATACAGGGTGTTTCACGACTTTAGGACATAACTGCAGGAGGTGATTTCCTAGGTCTTTGTGATCAAAAAAATTCTTCTTAAGATATATCGGACAGAGAAACAATTATAAATATATTTGTAAAGTCTGAAGAGGAGTTTTGAATTCAAATGAGCAGAATATCGTCGTTGATGTACAATATCTAATAATCCACTAAAAATTTGTGCTTTAAAATACCCTGGCGGGAGAATAGTTTCGCCTGACCTGCGCGCGCCTCTAGTGACGTCTGTAAAGTTCGGAATATGGTCAGCTCAAGAGGAAGAAGTCGTTGAACGTGGAACGACAGTCACGGGCGTTCACGGGGGACCACCAGCCGGCAGCAGCCTACCAGTCAGAACTCTAGGCCAGAAACCAGCTGAGTGGCGGGTCTCAACAACCGGGGTAGTACCTCAACTAGGTCATGAACGATTCTTTCCAAATCCTTTAAAATTCGTCATTCATCAGTCATCCTACTAACTGATGCTATATAGTCTCGATACCGAAAGCGTCGTTAACTAACCCAAACAACAACAAAAAAAATCCGTGGTTTTTGTCCTCAAGCGAACTATACCGGCCCCCCTTTCTGTCGTGTTGAAACCCCTCTTTCCATTCACTTCTATCAGGGAATCTGATCATGAAGAGTTTATCATAAACATGTTTTGGTATAATTTTATCAGACACCATCCGTAGGATGGGTTCTTTTTTCATGTCCTGAATCATACTCCTATATGCATGTCCAAAACCTTTGGGTTACAACGTAGCCTGTAATTTCCTGCCTTGGCCTCTGCCTACACCTGGAGGTGCAGTGTAGGGAGTCCAAGGAGGACTTCCATTGCAACTGTTGGAACTGTTCTCATTGTTCCCGTAATTCCCAATCAGGCTGTCCTTTGCAGTTTGCTAAGTTCTGCCTGACTTGTTTTAAGTTTAACTCTGGGCCACCATATAGTGGCAGCATAGGTATACCCAATATACCATCTTTGATTTCAGTCCCAAGGTTTTCCCAAACATACCTCTGCATGTCCAGAAGGCCTTGTAGGCCTAATTGATGGAATTATCCAGCTCTTTTCCCCATGTCAGTCCCTTGTCTAAAGTTATTCCAAGGTACTTTACTTCACTGGATAGATCTGCAGAAACTCACCTTAGTCCACTCGTGGCCAATGTAGTACCACAGCAATAGGACAATCGCCACCAAGCTGATAAAGAGAAATTTTTGACCCTGTAACAGATGTCATAATCACTGTTATATGGTAGATGGCTGTAATTCCATGTGGTGAGCAATTTGCCGACTAACCAGGCAAGCGGTTGGCAACCGATGGCCCTTTGTTTTCCTAATTCCGGCACCTCAACATTTTAATCAAGATATTAACAAACTTTATACAAGCCGGAAGGTCGTGGGTTCGATTCCCTATGAAGTAGCTGGATTTTTCAATGAAACTAGTCCTACCAGCCGACTGTGGCCCTGGGGTCGACTCAGCTTCCAGCAGAAATGAGTTCCAAGAATTTTCCTGGGGATGAAGAGTGACCGGTGCATAAGGTCGACAACCTCGCCGCCAGCTGTCAGCCAATTATCTATACATCTCCCAGCTCCAAGGCCTCCACGGACTGTTGCAGTGATAGCGCAAGGTCAAGTAGACCTTGCGCAGTTTTGAAATTGGCTAGCGTAGTTAGAAAGCAATAACTCATGGGCCTCTAAATTTAGAGAGAAAATAACTGAAAACGGAAATTTAAAATAGCAGAAATCTTACTTTTGCAGCATGAGTAATTCGAAATGTTAATCTTCTGTTTGATATTTAAGAGTCCTGTATCAGGCTGCTGTAATGAGTGGCAGAAATTTTTGTTTGGTGCTATTTCAATCTTTGGGTCTAACCTGCCTTAAGGAACAAATATTTTCAAATATGAACCACATTAAAAACAAACTTTTAAACCGAGTGCCAGATGAGAGTTTGAACCTGAAAATGAAATTCATATCTTATAAACCTAAAACAGTAAGACTTGCAACGCAGCAGCAGCAAATCAAAAATCACAGCAAGTTTTTAAACTAATTATACGATTAGGCAACCTCTATGTAATTTTCATTATGTGAATTTTATTGGTTTCTACCGACAAAGTCTTTAATCTTTCTAGTAGCTTTACTTTCATTACGGTTCTGTTTTCGAGTCTGCGCGCGCATGTCCTTTGTCATCTGAGACCTTCAGGCACATTGAACAGCAACGAAGATATAAAAATGGCTGTTTCGAAAAAACAAACGAAATGGTTGGCAACCGCCGAATTAGGCTAAATACAAATTACTGAGTTCGGAAACTTACTTTTGATAGATCCACTGCCTGGCCCCATAAAGTGTTGCCCACTTCTGCTGAACTTCCTGGTGCAGGCGGTTCGGTTGAGGCTGTCACGTTTCGGGGGCGTTTGAAGGATAGGTGACCTATGGGACGTTTCGTCCTTGAGGCAATTAGGAGGCGTAAAGAGAATGGGATATTTGGGGGGCGGTTGGCGACTGCGGTATCTGAGAGAGTGGTGTTGAAGGGATCGCTTGTGAGATTGTGGTAGAACTGGGGAACTGCCGCGGTTAATCTCTCATGATTTCTTCCGCCTGAAAATGTAAGTTTACGCATATTAACCACACTAAACACTTGAACACTTACATCACAAACGTCACATTTCTTACCCTAAACGTTAATTTTATGGAACTCGAAGCTTCGCTCTCCTGTACACGAGATTTCCACTGATCCCTACTCTGAGCCAGATCAATCCAATACATACCACCCGATGATGTTTAAGATCCACTTTAATATTAGCCCCCATCTACGTCTTAGTGTCCGCAGTGGTCTCATTCGTTCTTGCTTTTATCACCAGAATGTTATATGCATTACTTTTCTCCCTATTCGTGCTATACGCCCTGCTCATCTAATCCCCTTTGACTTGATCATTATACTAACACTTGGCGAAGAGTACAAGTTATGAAGCTCCTCATTATGCAGTTTTCTCCAGTTTCCTGTCACTTCATCCCTCTTCGGTCCAAATATTTTCCCCAGCACCCTGTTCTCAATCCGTTTAAGTCTGAGGTCCTTTGTGACATTTCGTATCAAATACTCGTATATCGTTACGGTGAGTTGTTAGCCCCTCGCCCAACCCCAAACTGGAGGACAACCCCCTGTCGGCTGCCCGCGGCTGCTTATTCAATTTATCGCAGCTACCCACCACATCTGAGGTCGTCTCCTCCATCCGCAACCTGAGGACGCATCTCATTACAAAGAATGCTGAGGTTAATGTGGAAATAATGTATTAAGTTGAAATTATTGTCAATTTGCTGGCCAAGGAGTTCATTGGATTCTGCTTCCTCGATTAATTTATTGTCAAAACCTGTATTTAAATGAAGACATGTCTTGTTCTTAGCATGACGTTTTATGCACTTCTCTTTTTCAGAATTTAGTGTCAATTTGTTAGCTTCAAACCGTTTGTTTAGTTTGGCAAAGACGTCCTTCATTCGTAAGATTTTGAAAATAGGTAAATTCTGGATGTGCAGTATCAAAGAGAATAGGTCTGGACTGAGTGTTCATAGCTGCAGGCAGGTTATTATTGTACAGATGTGCACAGAAACACACTCTCGCGCCGCAAAATTTGGCCGCCCTGGCATTCATATCACTAGGACAATTACATTTCGGTTAAGTTTTTTTTTTATTATATCCTTAGATAACCTCTATTAAAATGTGTATACATATTTTTTGGCCCCCCTGTGTTTGGTGAAAAAAGGGGCCAAATACCGAACCACGAGGGACCCCTCAATTTGCAACGTTCCATTCTGAATAGATATTGTGATTGGTATGCGTCCATTTAATTTCTACTTTCGACCTTCTGTTATTTAATTAAGATTTAAACAATTGTCCTGCTCTACTCGAATTACATGTAATTTTATTTTCATTATTAATAGTTCCTGGACTATAGAATTACATGCTTTGGAAATCTAATCAAATGTAGAAACTCTACTGAAGGCCCAAACAGGTTTTTAATTTTTTTTTTTCAAGTATTTCTTATTCGCTACCAGGAGTTCGAAGATTAGAGACGTGAACACAGAAGCTGGCAGACTTTCATTGTTAAGATTCGTTACTAGGTACCGTCTAGTTAATACGCAGCAACCAAAACAATTGGCTACCTGTTCTGATGATTATAAAATAGGTTTTGTATTGAACTTGCAAAAACGAGCTTCAAGCGAGTTTGACAGCATCCGCAAAACAAATAGACGGATCAGCCTACTCCCAATAATGAGCAAAATCTTCGGAAAAACTATGCTCAAGAGATTACGCCCGATACTAGAGGAAAACCGAATCCTCCCAGACCTTCAGTTTGGATTTCGAGAGAAACACTCTTATCATGGAACAAAACCACCGAATTACAGAGATAATGAGAGGAACTTGAGAAAGAACCAGTACTGCTGTGCGGCGTTCCTAGACATCATGCAGACCTTTGATAAAGTATGGCATTCAGCCCTCTTGTTGAGGATCAGAGAAATCCTTCCCCATGCATATTACAGAATATTATATTCATATCTAACTGATAGACTCGTTCGAGTAGAAATCAAAGACGAGATCACAGATGTAAGGAAAACTGAAGCAGGCGTATCGCAAAGGAGCGTAGTAGGATCCGTCCTTATCTCTACACAAGCGACCTCCCAACATCAGAAAACAACTGCTACCTTGGCCGATAATACGGCAATCTTGGCCACACATGAAGATGCAATCATAGCCTCAATGAAACTCCAGGTCTCCACCAGTAAAATCGAAGGATTGGACAAAGAAATGGAGAATTAAAACAAATCGAAGCAAATCCAATGATATTACATTCACCCTACTGAACCAAACCTGTCCGACAGTGCAAATGGGTAATGTTGACATACCCCAGAACAATGAAGAGAAATACCTGGACATGCATCTCTATGTAAGACTGATATGGGAAAATACATCAAAAACAGGAGAAAACAGTTCAACCAAAAAGCAAACAAACGCACTGGCTATTCAGAAGATCAACACCATCAATAGAAAATCAAACTCCTGTAAAAAATAGTACTCAAACCCATATGGACCCGTGGAATTTAGCTATAGGGGACAGTGTCCAATTCCAAAATCGAAATCCTAAAGCGCTTTCAATCCAAGATACTTCCCATCCATTTTGAAGGCAACTTGGTACATAAACAACCACAGGATCCGTAAAGCTCTACAAATGAACACAGTGCTCAGTGAAATAAAAAAGCGGACTGCTAAATACTTAAGAAAATTAGAAACCCACACTGGTGCACTAACAGTGAACCTACTGGAAAATAGCGAAACTACACATGGACTGAAAATATACACCGTCGTGACTTAACAGACAGACCTGAGTACAACTCCAACACAAGAATAAACTGATATCTAAGTGAACAAAAAAGTGAGTTAAGCAGTTAAACATATGCACTTATTGCACAGGCTGCAGCTTATGTATAATACGACGTAAGTGCGTGAGAGAAATGTTTTCCCCTCTCTCTCTATATATAATAATTTTTTAGATTAACAATAATAATGTTTTATAATTATTAAATTTTCATAGGCACGCAAAAGAATTTATCGGAATATTATCGAAATATGATGCATACATTCTAAAGAAGTTCGCCAACCGTGACGCAGATTGCCTTTGTCTTGGGTGAAACGCTTATATTTTCTGTTGCATTACTTACTTTCCCTCAAGTTATACCCAAGTATGACTAGAAGTGACAAAAGGAACGTCACTTTCGTTTCCATCTATGCAATCTTGACTTCTTCAACTCTTGAAATGAACAGGTTTATATCTTCAGTGGATTGCAAATGGATAGCAGACAGTTCGTATCCAGGAAACGAGCTAACATTTCATCGTATTTACGTTGACATGTATTTTCGTTGGTTACCTTAGATACGAGATGTCATTCTTGGGTAATGCCCTAAAGAATTGCAACAATAACCAGGAGAGTCCATGCGCATTAAGTACGTAAATACCGAACCTCAAAGAGGACTGGGATTGCATTTGGTATTGCGTATTTTCATGCGTTACGATTAGTTATGAAACTGACAAATAATGGAAGGCAAATATTTACAAAAGACACTAATAGATAGACTAGATGTTGGATTTATAAGGAAATCTAGGAGCAGATTACATATGAGGAATTCGGTTTATAACATCTTTCTTACCGTATGCAGTAGAATACGTAAAGGTTTAAATATACCAAACTACAAGAAGTTCTGAGAATAGTTAATAGCCTACTTTTCTCTGATACGACACGGATCGCAGAGAAAACGGAGCGTCCAACATTTCTTCTATTGCGGAATTTGTATTCGTTACCTTGGTAACGTGTTTAATGAGCCGTTGCCTAGGAACAATAAGGGGATACATTCACAGTATATAGACACAGACTGATGCGAGAGATCTCTGGAGCACCCCGTTGAAATGGGCGCAGGTGCCATGATATACATACTAAATTTCATAAAGATTTGTTCAGGGATTCAAAAGCTGGTGATCTCATAATTTCATTGTCTTCATTCTAAAATGAATTTTAGTATGAAGACATCATGGCATGCAGTACAATAGTTTAACGTGCATAAAGACACCTGAAGATGGCACATTAGTGCTGAAACATGTAGTGTGGAAGTGAAGAATAAGGTGAAAAAGTGTATACACTGTAAGACGGTCAGCATAAACCATTGGTCACTGAAGTTTAAGGTCAAGGACTAAAGGTATTAGAGCACAGGGTGCTGAATAGAATATTTGGATCTAATGGGGATGAAATGGTAGGAGGCTGGAAAAACTGCATAATTAAGAACTTCTTAACGCATATTCTTCATCAAATGTAATTAGAATGAGCGAATCAAGGAGGATGAGATGGATGGGGCATTTAGCACGCATGGGGAATAAGAGTAATGCATGTAGGATTATGGTGGGAAAGCCAGAAGGATAGAGACCATTAGAAAAACCTAGACGTAGGTAGGAGGATAATATTAAAATTATCTTAGAGAAATAGCATGGGGTGGTATGGACTGGATTAATCTGTCGCTGGATAGGGACCAGTGGTGGGCTGTCGTGTACACGGCAGCGAACCTTAGGATTTCGTGAAATATTGAGGAAATTTTTAAGTGGCTGAGCAGCTGACTGCATAGCATAAAGGACTCCGCGCCATGGAGTTGGTGGGATAATTAGCCCGTTCTTCTTATGCATTCAACACAGATATATACAACAGGTATTGCTAGAGTATGTTGGTTGTCATTGTTGTAATTTTGTCAGTCACATTATGCAATGCGCGCGAACCTGCGCAAGGGAGTCGTGGTGCATGATTTGTACTTGTTGGGGGAGTGGCAAATGTGACGGTCACGTTATGTATGTATACTGTGCGTGCGCGCTCACACCTTCGGTTCACAGTGCGGTTGTAGACGAACGAGAGGTCGAAGTAGATGTGAAAACGTTCGAGGATTCGTGTGCAATTTCATACAAGGGCGTCGGAAGATGGGATGTGCGTCGAATATTAGTGAATAAACGCAAGCCACAACTGATCCAGCTTGATATAAATACTTTGAATTGTTTCCTTTTTTTGTTCTTAATAAAACAGTGGTTGCGCAGTTTTGGAAGTGTTTTTAGGGGTGGCAGTGAATAGGAAATATCGCAATAAGGTAATGATAATGCTGTGAATATTATTTCAGTAGTATTTACTGATAATACAGTTTATTATTATGACATTCAAATTAATGATGGCACCTTAAGTTTCGTTTTGATTGTTAGATACGCTTGAAATGCCTTCCTTATCGTTCTCAATCTGCATGAACGTCGCTTTTCCGAGAGCCCATGCGATCGATGGTTGCGCCCTGAAGAGGCGCCGTAGGTAATTCCCGTGCCCTGCTCGTGTAATGGGTGACGAAATTGTTTAAAATGGGATATACTCATACAACGGCCACTCGTACTGGGATGTTATACCATCACTTGTATGATAAACAGCATTGGCTGTTTCTGAAGTTCGAAGCTAAAATGTCTTTGCTCCCTTTGTAAATTACCAGGAAGAGAACGGAACTTACAGCTTATTTTGATGTGTGATGATGTGATATCGGATATCATACAGTTTTTTGGATTATTGTGAGATTACTTTCTATTTCTGTAGGAAGTGTTTCGAAAAGCAAGGTGAAAATTTTGATTGACGAACTTCATAAATATGCAAAAGTTGGATGAGATTCGAAAATCGACCCTAAGAACAGACTGACGTGAAATGTTAGCGTCAAGAATCGAAGATAAAAACTTTCTAATGTATATGTACAAGTAAATTTACCAAATATTTCTTGCACAGAACGTTTGTGCAGCTTGTCTGGACTTGATAGAAGTCCAAAGCCCCCAAACCCGGTAACTCTGAGTTTAATTGTGTTATAAATTGTGGTTTGTATTATTGTTGTTAATATTTTAATTTAGTTTTAAATCTCAGTCGTTTATTTCATGAATCTTTCCCATCAATGTCTGCATGCCAGTGTGTGTATCCCTCCTAACGTTGTTAGTCAACGGCTCGGTAAATATGTTATCGCGGCAATGAATACATACGCAACACTGGAAGAGTTGTTGGATGCCTCGTTTTGTATGCAGTCCGTGTCGCTCTTCCCAGAACTTCATGTTTATTGGGGAGTCCAAACGAACGTTTGGAGAATTTAATTTTGAATCCTATGGATATGACCTCGAAGAGGCTCAAACTGAATATTACCGCTCTTTTCCCCTAAAGTGGATCATAGTTAAAAAGGCCGGTAAAAAGTGAAGGTGAATTTGTCCTTGTGTTTAATTAGTTAAGCGCAATGCCATGAAGCCCTGTGGGGGAATGGGCGTGTAACTCGGCTATTCTTGACCTCGTCACTGGAGGACGTAAATTTTCAGCGTCAGGCCCTGGCCGCTTTACCCCCGGCGCAAGAGGCCCCGTAATGAATTATGTAAGAGCCGGTCTGGATAATCTGAAGTAGAGAAAAATTTCTTGCCCCTGCCCAGAATTCGAACCCGTAACCCGTCGCTATACCGATTCTGCTCCGACTTCAGCGAGTAGACCTGTTAATATATTACATATCTCTTTTACCAGGAAGGGCTTCTAAACCAGGTTTAAGTCTTAAAGCGTTGAAGTGTGACACTTGAGCCTGTCTATACCTGTTTCTATTACCAAAATAAGGCCCATGTTGTAATTACTTTGTCATGATAAATTGAATGTAATAATTACTGAGTAAATATTTGCGAGACACTTAGGACGGTGCAACACGTCATTGTTACTACTACTACAACTACTGCTACTGCTGCTGCTGCTGCTGCTGCTGCTGCTGCTACTGCTACTGCTCTACAGTCGTTAGTTTGGCCTTGGTCGCTTTTTCAGTTCATTGATTCTATACACAGTCGGTAGGACTCCTTGGACGGGGGATCAGCCCGTCGCATGGTCGCTACCTGCACAGACACAGAATAAACTCATACAAACATCCCAGCGTTCCAGCAAGCGAACATAGTTCATGCCTTAGACCGTGCTGCCAATACGATCGGCAGGTGCAACACTCCCCTCGTTTATACGATTATTATGCCTGCATATTCTAATAAGCTAGCCAATAGCGAGTTTTGGAAAGAGCGGTTTCGACCTCTCAGTCCATTCACTGAAACTCTGATACACAGGTGTTCGGTAAAATAATGGAAACACTACGGATACTGTACACGTCTCTTTTTTAATATGCTGTTGGACCACATTTGCCTTCAGTACACCCGCAGTCCACCTTGGAACAGACTCGTACAAATTTTTAACAGTCTCTAGTGGAAGTTTATACCATTCTTCTTGAAGAAGGTCTTCATGTTACTTTGAAGATGTTGGCTCATCAGAGTGGTTCAGTGACGATGAAATCTGGTGATTGTGCTGGCGAGAAAAGATGCTGAAGTCTACCTTCACGCTCTTCAAATCATGACTGAACTGCTCCAGCTGTGTGAATGGGAGCATTGTCGTCTTGGAAAACCTCATCGTTGTTCTGAAATAATGTCTGGACCATGGGATGCACCTGATTACCCAAACTGTCCACGTACTCCCTTGCAGTAATGGGACCAACAGGAAACTGTACCACGATGTTGCTGCCCAAAGCGTCACAGAACCTCCCTCGTGTTTCACTGTTGGAACCGGGAATTCCGGACTGTAGGCTTCTCTGGGTGTTCTCCAAACGTAAACTCCTGATGTAGGGAACTGCGTGAAGGACGACTCATCTCACCATATCACGCGCGCGTTTCCAGTTGTCTCACGTCCAGGTTTTATGGTCGTGACATCACCGTTCGCGCATCTGAGCATTGCTTCAGTAAACAGAGGTCTACGAATTGCAGCCTGAACGTGGAAGCTCACGTCGGGCAGGTTTTGTGGAAACATGGTCTTCGAGACGAATATTCAGTTCTGCTGACCTGTCATCTGTGCTGCAGTAGTTCTGTGATTTTGCGAAACAATCCTTCTCAATATAAGACGATCTCTTTCTGTCAGTGTTGATTTTTGCCCGCTGTTCCTCTTCGCTGGTGTTCTCTTCCCACGATACGTGTATGCCGGCGTAACCTTAGAAAGTGTCGCTGCCGATACACAGAGTAATGTGGCAGGTTTCTTGTCACAGATGCCACCAGTTCTTCCCACAAGTTCTTGTTTTCAAATAAGGAAAGTATTCCAAAAAAACTTTTTTGTGTTTTTTTTTCCAGACCTTATATTTGTGACTGTATTATGTTAGTGGTCTCCATTTATTTCATCCGCAAATTTATGGAAATATTAACTGAATATTATGTTCTAGCTGCTAATTGCTATGCAGTTGATTAGTGTGTTTATATAATCTGCACCTATTTCCAAAAGTTCATACTTCCCCCCCCCCCAACCCAGTTGTTTTCTATGGCCTGATTTGAATGTTACTTCTAGACATCCTTAATTAAGCGTCTATGTATTTAGTCCGTCAATAATGCACTAATGAAGACACCACGCGATGCTTGAGGAAAAACGTGCAAGCAAGGGGCATATTGCAGATCGCAGATGTAGCTGCTTAAACAGACTGTCTGGAATATACGCATCACACGGCTTTAACAAGTGGACAACATCCCTTACGAGGTGGATAGGATTTTACGAAAGATTTTAATACGGGCACGCGGTAGCGTAGTTGGTTGAGGCACTATGCTACAAGCCGGAAGGTCGCGGTTTCAAGTTCTGATGAGGTCATTGGATTGTTTTCAATTGACCTAATCCTTCCAGCCGCACTATGGACCTGGGGTCGACTCAGCCTCTAACAGAAATGAGTACCAGGAATGTTCTCGGGGCTAGAGCGCGGCCGGTGCGTAAGGCTGACAATCCTACCGCCATCTTTGAGCCGATTGTCTAGATAATGTGAGATCCCCAACGTCTGACAACCCTATGGGCCTCCATGGCCTGTTACCAGGATAGCTTTACTTTTCTTACTTTTTAATAGAATTGAAATTAATTTTAAGTAATTATTTATGTTTTAAGTGGACTGCAACGCGCAATTTTAGCGCACATAAAAGCAGTGTAACAGTTTAGAAGCACCGACACACCTGAGGGTGGCCGTCTGTGGCCGAAACATGTCGTGTTGGTGTTGAATGGTGAATGTTGTAATGATCGTTGCATTATTAACGGACTAAATACATAGACGCTTAATTAAAGATGTGCAACAGGATGCTGAAATACAGAATTCTAGACATCCGTTCAGAGGTCGACTATTCATGAGTTGACAGGGTGCCATGGTCACCGTGTCTAGCACTCTTGATTTCCATGGACTGTGGCCAGTTCGTCTCAAAGAGAGACGAATTCTTCGTAACTTGGGTGTTTTCGTTACGAAAGCTGTATATATCGCACGCTGCACACCCCCAAACGCGCTTCTAGTATTCACAGTTTTTGGGTTGAACGTAGTAAAGGTGCCCTTAACCTATTTTACAGCACCAGGAACTTTCCTTGAAGGGTTGTGTGCTGTTTTAATATGGATCATGTAAATATTAACTCGATTCGACATACGTAAGTGAATGTTATATTTTAGCGTCCTGTTGCACTGATTTAAGTCCATGATTTATTTCACCGTCTTCTAGTGCATACACTTATCTACCTCACTCCTCTCTCTCGCACTACATGTTTCGGCACAAAAGTGCCATCTTCAGGTGCTTATTCGATTAACGTTAAACTAGTTCACTGCATATATATAT